ACCGCTCTTGCCAATATTCTCAAATTCCTTGACCTTGCTTCACATCTGCTGAACAAAACCTAAACACTGGATCAGTGTAACCATCAACCTTTCTAGACCTACACCTTAGCTATGGAGAACTTCATAAAGAAAGTACACAAGGGTACAGATTACTATTGCATATGAATGGTCTCCAACCCCAGATGGGCCTTTAACGGTCCTAGCAATTCTGTTATGACCTGCTTCTCCCATTTTCCAGGAACGCTGTTCATAACTTCACCATTCTTTAAGGCACCCAATCCACCACCTCCCCTCCCACCCTACACTTTCTCTTCTACTTGACAGAAAAAATGGAGGTAAACCTCCCTCAAACTCTTCTCTTTTATGAACTTTAACAAAAAAATACTGACTGAGAAACTACTGTGATCCAGTTGAACTAACAAATGTTTTAGGTGGGAGTCATTCACTGGAAAATGTGAAGCTTAAAATTCTTGGAAAATAATAGGTTCCAAGTGCCTACTCTGTAGTGCCACTGATATCAGAATGTGCACAGGGCATCTCTTTGCAGCAGATGAGAAGCTGAGTACACTCGAAGCTACTAGAGCAGGAGACCTGGATGGAATGATCTAGAGTGCACCATCTGGGCCCAGCTTTTATCACTGGGATACTGATGGACAAAGGCTCTAAGAACAGTCCAGGACTGCAGGGCTCAGCACCAGTAACTTTTTACCTTAGCCCATACAACCAAGCCTAAATAAACTTTGATAAAATAAAGGTATGAAATATTTTCAATGTATTTAATAAATAAAATTTAATATTCAAAGAGTAGAGGATACTATGAAAAATCTTTATGAAAAGGGATTGAGTATTTAGCTTCCAAAAGATATATTTACTTTGTTTTCCTAAAACTGAATTTTCATTTAATAGGTCTGCCTAAAGTGGGGGACATCCCTATGATGGGTGATATTATATTCTCAGATGAGCCACTGATATAAGCCCATGTAGCATTCAATTTTTAAAAAATGCATCCTAATACTGGGATTGTAATTTATCCTTATAATAATCTGCAGTCATTACTACCTAGAAAATCATAATAGAAAGCTTTTCAGGGAATTTAACATGAAATTATGAAATACATACTCTGAAACTCAGAAATCAGATAAAGTTATTTTTAAAGTATCAAAAATTTTTTAAGTGGAAAAGAAAAAGCCTCTGGGGGAAAACTTCTTATGACAAAGATGTGACAATGTCATTTTTATTGTTTTTAAAAATTTTCTTCTTACTATCAATCTTAACCATATAAAAATCAGATGGTCTTCTGAAAACTAGCTATAGAAATGTGGCAATGGAATGGAACACTACTGTACAAAACCTTTCCATCAAGTAGAAAAGTCACCGTTCAAACTGAGGAATGATTTATCCTTTTTTAAAAATTTTTTTAACATCTTTATTGGCGTATAATTGCTTTACAATGGTGTGTTAGGATTTATCTTAAAAGGGAAGACGTTCCTACATTTACACCTGCTGCAGCTGAATGCTTATCAGGTAAAATACAATCAAATTCCACTTCAGAGCTCATCATGCTATTCTCCGAGACCACCTACAGCACAGAATAAGTATTTCAGCAAATCTGTTTCACACTGAAATGCAGCCCACAGTTCTAGCCAATTTTTAAATTTATATTTTTTACAGCATAGCAATTAAAAGAATCTACAGGTACCAGATGTGCAAAACTCCTGTGGAAAGAAGTTACCTTTTCTGTACTGTATAAAGGTTCTGTAGGATTTTACATACTAGTTTTTAATTACCAAGAACATACAATTTCTCAGGTATGTTTGTATCTCCACTGGCTAATAGCCCCTAACATATATTTACACACTGTTTAGTATTCTACGACTAATCAAATCAGTATTGATTTAGCCCATTTATGTTTTTAAAAATAGAAAAAAACAAAACTAAAACCTGACTTGATTTCCTTCTGAAATCTGTTAGGTAAACGCTTTTGTTAAATTTAAACATCCCAAGTTAGATAAAATTGTCATTGGGTAGGTAATTTAAACCAAATTGTATAACAAAGCCACATTTACACAAATGAGACTTACCCTAAAGAAATAATTAAGGGAAAAGACATTCAGATATCCTTTGTTCTCAATGTCAAGCAATTTGAAAATATATTGCAGAGCTGCAGGTTCTTTTCGGTTTTCTAATGCAAGAACAAAATCCAGGTAGGTCTTATAGTCCTATAGAAAAGAAAATGACATTCATTAGAGGCCTTATTTGTAATTAACTTTTCAATTGACTGATGATTTGAAGATGTTTGTAATCAAAGATGGCAATTTTTTTTAATATGAAACGAGAAATCCATACTTAATATATACTTAATGTTGGTTTCTAGGGATTCTACATAGCAGTTTATCTGTACAGGACAGTTTGAGGGGGCACAGCTCATTTTCTTATGAGAGATTTGCTGTGTTAAGCCATAATTTTCATTCATTAGGCTTTTGAAATGGACAGACAGTGACTAACCTTTGCATGTTGCCACTAAATTTGTATTTTCATTTCGGTGTGGTCATTCTGAAATAGTTTTAAACTTTAATTCAGATGATTTCCAAAAAGTAATCTTAATAGTTCCAGAGTGGCTTCCCTGGTGGCGCAGTGGTTAAGAATCCGCCTGCCAATGCAGGGGACACGGGTTCGAGCCCTGGTCTGGGAAGATCCCACATGCTGTGGAGCAACTAGCCCGCAAGCCACAACTGCTGAAGCCCACGTGCCTAGAGCCCGTGCTCCGCAACAAGAGAAGCTATCACAAAAAGAAGCCCGTGCACCGCAACGAAGAGTAGCCCCTGCTCGCCGCAACCAGAGAAAGCCCGCACACAGCAACGAAGACCCAACACAGCCAAAAATAAACAAATAAATTTATTAAAAAAAAAGAATGCCAGATATTCTACAGTGATCTGACACTGTTCTCATCCAAAAAGGGGGCAAGAGAGTACAAATGAAGGCTGAAAAGACATGAACAGAACAGATAGCTTTCTCTACGAAAAAGGGATAGTCACAGATTACTTTTTCTGCATGTTTAAAAAAAGTAAAGTACTTGGGAGATTCTCACTTGGAAAAGTTTATAATCTTGGAAAGGATTTTCTTAGGCTAAGATTAAGAATTTTTTTCTGCATAAATAGTAGTATAAAGAGCTAGAGATGCAGCCTCATCACGGTCTAAACTCCATGCCTAACTGTAGCTTCTGATTTTCTTTATTCACCAGGTTATTAGCATACTCCAAGCTCCTCACTGTTAACTGTAGGCAGCTGTGGGAGTCATGAAGCAGAGTTTTTGCACCTTTCCCTCTTTCTCTTTGCAGTTGGCTAACAATGGTGTTATTTAGAAAACTGCTATTAAAGCTAAATGATAAAACCTAAAACCCTGATTCTCTTCTGACAGTATGACCATTTCTTAAGCATCATTGGTTTGAAAAAGTTATCAGATCCTTAACACATATTTTTAATAGCAAGAATGGTGATTTAAAAATGCTATTTAGAATTTTCTTCTCAAGTATTTTGCATTGTTGTGATAAAAGGACAGGTGCATGTTAGCAAATCTTTAGCTGCTAAGGTAGCCACTTAGAGTAATACTACCTGATTCTTAGATTTAAATTAAATCATGGCAGGGCTTCCCTGGTGGCGCAGTGGTTGAGAGTCCGCCTGCCAATGCAGGGGACACGGGTTCGTGCCCCGGTCTGGGAAGATCCCACATGCCGTGGAGCAGCTGGGCCCGTGAGCCATGGCCGCTGAGCCTGCGCGTCTGGAGCCTGTGCTCCGCAACGGGAGAGGCCACAACAGTGAGAGGCCCGCGTACCGGGAAAAAGGGGAAAAAAAAAAAATTAAATTATGGCATATGTGGTACTATATCTGACCGGGTAATTTAATGAATGAACCATCTATATGAAAATAATCAATAGGGTTTACCTGTTTTTCAGATTTTTTTTTTTTTTACTAGTCCACACTTCTCTACAATAGGTGCGCTGACAATGAAATGAACAAAAATATTAAAATTTTCTGTTTGCCCTGAGTCCATGAGGGAAGTAATGTTTTTAAGCAAATTTACCTTAAGATCAAAGGTTCTGAATCTCAAATAATTTGATCAGTTCATACTTCTTAAGATACTGTTATATACTGATATGAAAATAATGCTGTATCATATCAAGAAAAAGGCTTTTGTGATTAAGAAAATGGACAGAGGACCTGAAGAGTCATTCTTCTTTTTTTTAATAAATTTATTTATTTTATTATTTTATTTTATTTACTTATTGTTTCTGGCTGCTTTGGGTCTTTGTTGCTGCTTTGTTGCTTTTCTCTAGTTGCAGTGAGCGGGGGCTACTCTTCGTTGCAGTGCGCGGGCTTCTCATTGCAGTGGCTTCTCTTGTTGTGGAGCACGGGCTCTAGGCACACGGGCTTCAGTAGTTGTGGCACGTGGGCTCAGTAGTTGTGGCGCACGGGCTTAGTTGCTCCACAGCATGTGGGATCTTCCTGGGCCAGGGCCTGAACCCATGTCCCCTGCATTGGCAGGCAGATTCTTAACCATTGAGCCACCAGGGAAGCCCAGGAGTCATTCTTCTGAAGAAGACATCAGATGGCCAACAGGCAGATGAAAAGATGCTCAACATCACTAATCACCAGGGGAATGCAAATCAAAACCACAATGAGATATTACCTCACACCTGTCAGAATGGTTACCATTAAAAAGATAACAAGTGCTGGCAAGAATATGCAGAAAAGGGAACCCTCATGCACTGTTGGTGGGAATGCAAATTGGTGCAGCCACTACGGAAAACATTATGGAGGTTCCTCAAAAAATTAAAAATATAACTACTATATGATCCAGCAATTCCATTCCTGGATATTTATCTGAAGAAAATGGAAACACTAATAGGAAAATATAATGCACCCCAATGTTCACAGCAGCATTATTTACATTAGCTAAGATATGGAAGCAACCTGAGTGTCCATCGACAGATGAATGGATAAAGATGATATGGTATACATATACGATGGCATACTACTCAGCCATAAAAAATAATGAAATCTCTGCACAGGGAATATAGTCAATATTTTACAATAACTTTGGTAATCTATAAAGACAGTGAATCACTATGTTGTATACATGAAAGTAATATAACATTCTAAGTCAACTATATTTCAATTTAAAAATAAAGGCTTTTGGAAATTGTGGGAGCTTAAATTTTTAAAACTTAGAGATTTAAACTGCTACCATTTCTCCATCATAAGTGAGACACTCCTGGAAAACACGGTCTAAGAAGACATTGGTCATGGTTGCTGTTCCATAGCGGGAGAGTTCTTCTTTACTGAGCATGCCATTGTGATCCTTATCAAGATTCAAATATTGGCCTTGGGGAGAAAGATGATAAAAAGACACTTATGACCAAAATAAAATTCTAACTAAAAGACAAAAGAATAAACACTAACAAAAAGTTATTTTTATTGGTTAATATTTTGATTTTTAAACTAATTATGTTACAGTCATGGTAGACATCTGCTATCCCTGCAATCTCTATCCGAACAACTGTTAAGCCAGAACCAGTCAAAGAAAACTCATCATAAAGGTCATGCCTTTATGCTATTTCACTTACATCATTATTTGTTTTCAGTTTGCAACCTTTTATAACTTTCCTAGGATTCTAAATTAGATGGAGGTAGGGGTCAACCAACATAAAGCACTGAAATGCTGGCACTTGAAAGCAGAGGTCAAGGTTGCCAAAATGAGTCACAAGACCACCCAAAAGGACAATGTAACAGACTAATGAAATTCAAGAAAAAAAAGCAAACTAGGCCCTAAAACACACCCCTCTGTGGACCCTGAGAGTAGTATTTTATCACAATGCAAGGTCACAGGTGATGTTCATAATAATGTTCCTGAGTCAACAATAAAAAAATCAAACTACATTCTTTATGTTAAAGTGTTAGAAATGTACTAACTTAAATAAGAGTCACAAAAATATAAAATGCTGGCATTTAAACAAGTAAAATTTAATAATCTAGAATATAAGGTATTAAGGAAATTGGAATACTTTGATCTTAAGGTAAATTAGGCTATGTATAAAACTGTCCTTTGAACACCAGTTAATGAAACATTAACTGAGGAACGGATAATTCAAATTATAGCATTATTATAGGAACATACCATACACTCGTAGGGCAGAAGGAGCAGAAAACCAATTTGTTTCTTGACTCTCCTTGGACAGTTCCTCATCCCTTAACTATATGAGCATAGAGACATAATTAGAAGATAGCAACTATGAAGTGATATAATTAAGTAGTTTAAAAACATATTTACCTCCAATAAATCATCTAGGAAGCTGCATGCTAAAATATCTTGAATTTTTATCTTCCCTTTAAAGAACATAAGCACAATTACTTAATTTTAAAAACAAGAGCAACTCAATTTTATAAAAGTATTATTTTAGAAGAGCAATTGCACAATTGATATTTTAAACTTCCTAGCTCTTATGCTCCAAAGTCCTTACTATGCATTTCTGTGAAAAGGGAAATCTGCAGGGAATATTTAATAAAATCTCATATAGGTATGTCTACCTATATACTCCCAAATATATACATCCAATTGAGAAATTCCAAAATTACATTGATAGCAGATTCCAAAAAAAGTTGTGTTAATTTTTTTGTGGTTATGGATATGATACTGTTAGTAGTCAAATAAGGAGACTGTTTCCAGTTTTCCTTTGCAGGTTCTGGAATAGAAAGCAATATAGAGGCGTGGTTAAGAGAGATGGGATTTAAATGCCACTTCTAGACATGCAATCCATCTAAGTCTTAATTGCTTCACACATAAAATGTGGGTAATAATACCTTCGTAATGGAGTTATGAGAAGAAAATGAAAGAATCTATGTAAAATGCTTAGTACTGTACTTATTACATAATAAACAGTCAAAACTGTTGGCTATTATTATTGTGTAAATTTCCAAGGAAAAAGATGTGTGTGTGCCTATAATGGAGGCGTTTAAAAAAACTGACAGCTACCCCATTCTGTGATGGACTCACAGCTGCATTTTCAAGGACAGAAGGAGTATCAGGGGCTTTGATTTGGGCCTCTGTCCCAGACACATGTATTTAAGCCTAGCAGTTTAGAATAGTTGATAAATGTACTGTTAATGAGGCAAAATTTACAAATCTGATCCTCATATAGGATAGTTAACTTGAAAATGAGAAAAACACATCATGGCTAAATGGTCCTCCTATCTCCCAATTCATATTTTTGATCAAAAAGAATAATGCTCCAGTATATTACCTATCAGGGATAGCAAATTATATCAGAATACCTGGCTTCTTAGAACTGGAAAGAATATACTTCATTTTAGAGATGGAAACATTGTAAAAGGTTAGGTGATATTCCCACTGTCACACAGCTGATTATGGTTGGCACAAGTAAATCAAAAGATCTACATGTCAAAAGATTTATATATTAATGGCAATAACATGTTAGGAAAATAAATAACATTTTAAAGACTTTTCTCTAGTTATTGAGATTTAGAAGTAATGATAATCTCATAATATCTAAGTTAGATAAGATTTTCTTTTACCTGTTCTTAGAGGGTCTAAAAAGAAGAAGAACTTCCTAACTGCTGTACAAACATAAAAGGAGTAAAAAGATTTTTCCAGCCCATCTAATTGTGGCAAAGTAGGGATAAGTTCCAATATGTAGTTTTCTAAATCCTGAAAGAACAAAACAAAATAAAACTTGAAAGGGTTAAATGTCTGATCTTGTTTCTTCATGAGATACTGGAATATAATTTCAGTCCTAAAAATTATTCAGTATTAAAACTATGTGAATGATGAAATAAATTCATTTGTGACTGAGTTTCAGATATTTTTCTTGGCTTGTTGTTTTCTTTTAACTTTGTTTATGATGGTCTTTGCTCTCAGAGTTTTAAAAATTTAGCTGAACTTATTGTTTTTTAGACTCCTGAGCTTTGTCATACTTAGAAAGGCTTTCCCTATTCCAAGATTATATATTTAAAAGCCTCTCATGGTTTCTTATATTTATTTTAATAATTTCATTACTTTTGCTTTATCCAATGTAAAGTATAATGTTTCTAGTTCATTTGAGACACTTTATAATTTAAGTTGTAGAATAGATGGCATCTCAAACATGGTGTGTCCAAAATTGGACTCTTATTATCCCCAACCCTGGTCCTCACCCATATTCCCCTATTCCACCATTTATTCAAAGTAAAAAAGTTAAACTTGGTTCCTACCTTTTCTTCACCAAGGCCCCCACCCCTTACCCCCAAAATCTAATCCAGCAGCAAATTTTTGTCATTGTTGGGGTGTGTGTGTCCAAAATATATACTGAATTAATCTATTACTGGCTTCTACAGACATCACCCTGGTCTGGGCCACTATCATCTCTCACCTGGACAACAACAGAAATTTCCTAATTATTCCTTCTTTGACTCTAGGCTCTTTACAATTCATTCTCCACACATCCAGTAATTTTTAAAGATGTAAACCAGGGAATTCACTGGTGGTCTAGTGGTTAGGAGCCCAGAATTTCACTGCCGTGGCCAGGGTTCAATCCCTGGTTGGGGAACAGATCCCACAAGCCACATGGCCAAAAAATAAATAAATAAAATAAAATGTAAACCATATCCTGACAGATTCAGCTTAAAAATTCTGATGGCTGGGCTTCCCTGGTGGTGCAGTGGTTGAGAGTCTGCCTGCCGATGCAGGGGACACGGGTTCGTGCCCTGGTCCGGGAAGATCCCACATGCCGCGGAGTGGCTGGGCCCGTGAGCCATGGCTGCTGAGCCTGTGCGTCTGGAGACTGTGCTCCACAACAGGAGAGGCCACAACGGTGAGAGGCTCCCGGCCCGCAAAAAAAAAAAAAAAAAATTCTGATGGCTTCCCATTAGTCTCAATATAAAATCCAAGCTCTTTATCATGGTCTAACAACCCAATATGTGGCCCTGCCTACTTCTCCAACTTCACCTCCTGTCACTCTAACCCTCACTCATATGCTCCAGCCACACTGGCTTCCTTCTGCTCCTAGAACAGGTCAGGTTTAACTTTGCCTTGGGGACAATGAACTTGCTGTTCCCTCTGTATTACATTTTCATGGCTTCTTTCTCATCCTTCTTGGCTAAAACTCAATCACTATCTCAAAGAGGCACCTCTTCTGTCTTATCTAAAATAGTTCCCCAACCCCAGTCATACACTTTCCTAGTACCCTATTTTCTCCTTAGAACTTGTCACTCTTTGAAATCATGTTGCTGATAATTTAGTGTCTGCCTCCCCACTCTGCTAGGAAAAAAGCACCTTAAGAGTAAGGCTTAGCAATGTACCTGGCACACATAAGTGTTTGGTAATTGCTTATTTAATAAGATTTAGTAAGTGAATGAGAGTTTGCCTATACTACTCAAATTACAGATGTTGGCTCTGGAAATTACTGTCTTTTAAATAAGGGAGACACAAAATTTGGTTTCAAAAGGCAAAGTGCCAAGGTTAGGAGAGTTATTTCTTTTCTTTGAGAGAAATGTTTTCTTTCATTGAGAGAAGGGAACATTACTCCCTTTTAAACACAACTACAGAGATATACTGTTGCTTTTCTCTCTCTTCCTCCCATTCCTCTTTCAATATTTGTTTCCATTCATGGGAAGAGGCAAGAAAAGTTTGTTTTGTAAACCAACTAATGGCTGACAAGAATTCTCAGAGCTATAGAAGTATTCCAATATCTGATCTGAGTAAGTATCAACCAGTGTTTAACACATCCTCCTTGCTAGAGATAGATGGATAGCAGGAAGAACCTTTTTCTGTCAAGCTGATCTGAACCTTAAAGGACAAGAATTATACTGTGGCCCGGCCCTAGAAAGGTTTTTAAGTGTAAATATCCAGTATGAGCTAACAGATTTTATCTATAGAAATCTGGATAAAACAGTGCAACAAATTATAACGGGAAACATAAACTATAACAGGGAATTTACATCTCTTTAAATTTTATACCTGAATATTTATTTAAGTGATTAATTAACCTGGTTCATATTTATGCATAACTCCCTTCCCCCTTTGTATATATTTGGGAAAAAGCCTGAGCTGAAAAGAAGATAGATAGATTGACTGATTTACTTATTTATTTATTTGCTTGCTTGCTTGCTTGCTGGCCACGCTGTGCAGCATGTGGGATCTTAGTTCCCCGACCAGGGATTGAATCTGGGCCCCCTGCCTTGGAAGGTTGGAGTCTTAACCACTGGACCACCAGGGGAAGTCCTCATATAATTGAGATACCCACACTTACAAGAATAGTGATTTGGATCATGAGGCTATAATATAATTCTCTTTTGATAACCTGTTGATAACCACATTAGTGCCTAATGGGAAATAAATAGCCTCTTGGTAACTGACCTTACAACCCAAACCTGCAGGTGGGACTATAGTCACATTATTTTTCTTATATTTCCTAAAAAAGGAAAAACTACTGGCTCTTACACTTTAAAACAGTCATACACAGATAACACTCATGAATAACCAAAAGTTTTTCACTGTTTCTTCAATGATTTTTTTTCTTTTCTGTGGTACACGGGTCTCTCACTATTGTGGCCTCTCCCGTTGCGGAGCACAGGCTCCGGACACGCAGGCTCAGCGGCCATGGTACGCAGGCTCAGCGGCCATGGTTCACAGGCCCAGCCGCTCCGCGGCATGTGGGATCCTCCCGGACCAGGGCACAAACCCGCGTCCCCTGTATCGGCAGGTGGACTCTCAACCACTGCGTCACCAGGGAAGCCCTTCAATGATTTTTAAGCAGTTAAAACATTACATTCTTTTCTTCTCCTTTAAAAGGCTTTTTTTTCTTTAAAGGTTGGAGAAAAAGAATTTAGAAAGGAATTTTTGTGACCAATATACACTTAAAAAGTTCTTTAGTAACACATGTTATTTGTAAAAACAAACAAAGCAGAGAAACAAAAACAAAATAAGAATTATCTGTAATCTCGACACCCAGTGATAACCACTGTTTAGCAATTTTGGTGTCTAGAGCATTCTGGTGTCTAGAGTTTATTAAAGTAGGTTAATACTTACAGATTCCCGAAGATACCCTTGTCCAGCAACATCATATAAACTGAGGCCTATTCTTGTTTGATGAAGCCAAACTGACAATAAACAAGAAAATGAAATATAATTGTTAAGATCTATCCTTTAGTATATATATATGCATAAAAGGAGATAGAGAGACAAGCTAATTTAATGACTCTATAAACATATTTTTCTCACATATATTACTTATCTCATTAATCCACAAATTGTTTGAAACAAAATAAATATACCAGAGAATTAACTGCAGATATCAACAATTCTACCATGCCTAAAGTGACGATAAAGTTGATGCCCTTGAGAATACTGTTGTTCCACCAGAACAGGAGTTCTGATATTATGCCTTTAATGAAGCAGCTTTTATTCTACTTAGGTTAATTACCACAACCAAATATTAAAGCTGGTACACACAGGACTTGACAGGTCATTATGGAACTTATAGGAATCATAACAATTCCAACTTGTTTAATAAATACTCCTTGAGATGATGCTACAGTTGTGAGTTTGAAACTATCCTCTCAGGCAACTCAACCTGTAATATATTGGCGAAATAAAATTACCAGTGAATTAAAGTATTTCAAATAACCATCCATTAAAACTCTTGGTTCAGCTTTTGATATATCTAGTTAGCTAGTATCTTCAAGATACATGAGGCTTTTGTTTTGTTTGTTTTTTATAGTAATGAACCCAAATATATGGTAGAAACTTTCAGCTCTAGTAAGTTCCAGGAGAGAGCCATAATAATAGGAAAACAAATCTTGGTCAAAAGACAAGAATTCTGTTATTCAAATTTACTAAGAGTTGTTTGACATGGAAGGGATACTATAAAAGCACTGACTGGAAACCTACTTGATTCCCAGATAGAAGGAGTTCAAGTACAATGAAAATGAAATCACCTTTTCTCATGACATAATTAAAGAACTGCATGATGGAAATTCTTCCATAAGAATCTGTATGAAGGAGTTTAGCAAAGACTTTTGCTGCGAAAAATTGCCTAAGGAAAGGAAATAAAGATTAAATCATCTGCCAATATAATATAAAAATGACTTCTGTATGATTTAGCAGACAACAGCATAAATTCAAACAATTAAAAATCAAAGTGGTGGGAAAAAAATCAAAGTGAGAACTATAGTTCAAAACTTGAAATATTAAGCCATATATATTTAATTCTATTGTCTTAAGAATGAGGACCTATAATGCTGTAAATAAGCTATTTCTTTTAATAACTTTATACCAATGTAATTTTCTTGACTGTAAATAATTTTATTAAACTTTATTAGTTTAATGAAAAGCTGACTCAAATTATCATATTATTGACTTAAATTTTCATTAACATTTACTTGAGGCATTTAAAATGCTTAACATAACATACTCCTTTGTTAATCATATTATTCTTACTTGCACTTTGGTCCAGCTTTTTCACCAACCTTTAAAAAATTTTCATAATTAATCATTGCTTCCTCTCCAATCATGGGTGGTGTCTGGTGCTTGTCCAGCAAAAACCATAAGTTCTTAGGAGAATTGCAGAAATTAAGACATTATAATCAACTGAACAAAATTTAAAAACATAGTTAAATGTGTTATTTCCGTTAAAGTGATAGACTACTGTAGGGTCAAAATGTAAGGGTTTAAATCCCAGCCCTGCTCTGTGATCTTGGACAGTAGACTTAAAGTTTCTGTTTCAATTCTCATCTGTAAAGTAAGGATAACAGTGTCTATATCATATAGTTACACAGATTAAAGAGGAACGGTATATGAAAATTTTAGAACTTAGTAAACACTCAATAAATGCTAGCTTTTTTTTTTTTTTTTGCCATGCCACATGGCAAGCGGAACTTCCCTGCCCAAGGATCGAACCCACACCCTCTGCATTGGAAGTGTGGAGTCTTAACTACTGGCTCACCAGGGAAGTCCAATGCTAGCTATTTTTATCATGTTATTAGTAATCAAAAGGATAATAGGAGATGATAGTCTTCTAAATATTACTCCCTATACTAAGTGGTTCTCAACTTTGGCCACACATTAAAATCACCTATGGAGGGCTTCCCTGGTGGCGCAGTGGTTGAGAGTCCGCCTGCCATTGCAGGGGACACGGGTTCGTGCCCCGGTCAATGAACTCTCACTTCCCCCCGGTCAAAAAGGCCATCTTAAAAAAGTGTAAAATCCAGAAAGGCAGG